TTTACTGTAACAATTTAAAAAAATCCCAACTCTAATGACACATTTGTGATCATCAGAATAAATCCCAAAAGCAAGAGATAGTAATTGTAACCACATCATCTGTTGGCCTCCCTTTCCTCCCCCACCCACCACGGACAAACTTCTGAAGCTTTAACTCCATTTTTTTCTGTCCTCATTTGGATGAACCTTCATCAATGGAATCAACATCTTTGCCTGAGAAAGAGGTGGATTGAAATGAAGTGGTAGGTCCAAGATGTGGCCTCTCTTCCCTAAAGCGTCTGTTCTTATTCCCCTTTGCATCTGCCCATGCAGCCACTTATATTCTGAGTGTGCCTTCCCACCCCCAGACCCATCTGGTCATGACACTGCTCAGGGATGACTAAAGCAGCACACAGGAGCTTCATGTGACCATGTTGTCACTTGGGATTCCTTTTTTCCCGCTTGGTTCCTCTCAAACATCCCCAGGGACCATAGCTTACAAACCTATTGCTCCTTCTAGAGCACTTCAGTGCTGTTCTGGGGGACCACTTAAATAATCTCTCATCATGCTAGATGTGAGCTCACTGCTCATTTTGCTTCCAGTCTCTGTCAGATGGGATGCAGACTGAATGCAGACTTCAAGTTCCCATATTGCAGTGTAGAGCACGGGCACAACACCTTCAGATGCTTGGGTCTTGGAGGCTGATCTTCACCTTTTGCTGGTCCAGGAACAGTATTGCTGAGTAGGTGCTGGTGGACAATATTGTGCTTTGTGCTTCCTCTTAAGTCCCTGCAGCTTTGCACAGCATCAGGGGATCTCACGAGCAATCCTGTAAAGTCATGAGCTGGGGACAACTCGTTGAATCCATCTGACTTCGGCTGTCTAATCAGCAGTGACTCTTGAGGGCACTTTTGATGGTACAGTCTCTAGCAAACCCATCAGCAGAGTCTCTAGGTATGGTTTCAAAAGTCAGTATTGTATTTTGGCCAGAAATGCCACTGTTTCCATTATTTTTTCTAGAAGGGTTCTGACCTTAATGTTCTTGCAAAAATAAATATTACCAAGCGATTTGCGCTACCCTAGTTGTGAGGGAAGACTTGATGGAAGCAGTGAGTCTTGTGCTCTGTCCTTAGGCATGTGAGGGTATGCTTGATGTCTGTGGGAAGGGTTTCCAAAGGCAGAGTCCTGTCCCACATATGGAGAATTTAATCCTTGTGCTCATGAGGTGCTATGTGCCTAATATTAGGAACTGCCAGGGATAGTTACAGAGAGAGCAACAGTCTCTGAAGTGACTCTTGCACCCCAGCGAGGCACAGCTTGACATTGACATCACCTGTCAGCCCTTCCACCATCGGCAAAGACTCCCCTGATGACGCAGCAGCAATTGGCTTCAGTATACTGAGGCATGCATCATAGACCCAAGCTAATTTGTGTATGGTTTTCTGTAGATTTATGGGACTGTTTAACCCAGAGGGTCTCAGATTTTGATGTTAGCTAATGGAGGGCTACGTGTCGGCTTGCTGTGACTGCTAGGATGTCATCAAATTGTCATCGTGACTATCAGAGGCATCCAAACCAGGCCAGTGTTTCAGAATGCCTTCTTGGGGTGTTTGGTCCATTTTTACAGTCACTAGGGAGGTCAGTCCAGCACTTAGGCTGTCTGACTCAGGTTTGGTGGTACCCACCCCTTTCTGAACTGAGCAGAGACACTAAGTGCTCAGTGTAGGTCTTCTACCGATAGTTAGGAGGCATCAGAAATCATGGCATCTAATATAGGCTCCAGTGTTAGGGAGTCTGAATACAGCCTCCACTGACTAATTTGGTATTATACTAGGGAGGTCAGTCCAGCACTTAGGCTGTCTGACTCAGGTTTGGTGGTACCCACCCCTTTCTGAACTGAGCAGAGACACTAAGTGCTCAGTGTAGGTCTTCTACCGATAGTTAGGAGGCATCAGAAATCATGGCATCTAATATAGGCTCCAGTGTTAGGGAGTCTGAATACAGCCTCCACTGACTAATTTGGTATTATTTCCACCAGTTTAGTCTGCTGTATGTTGCGTGTGTGTGTGTGTGTGGGGGGGGGGTTGGGGAAGGGCTCTTGTGTGTAAGTGTATTATGCAAGCTTATAATTAAGCCTCCATTTTTAGGGAGTTTGAATACAGCCTCCACTGACTAATTTGGTATTATTTCCACCAGTTTAGTCTGCTGTATGTTGCGTGTGTGTGTGTGTGTGTGTGTGTGTGTATGTGCAAGCTCTTGTGTGTAAGTGTATTATGCAAGTGTACGCTGAAAATAAAAATCTGTATCGTGGCTGTATCATAATACATAAAAGCAAGGAGGAGACGTTTATAGTCCTGCTGCCATCCCAAAACAGGTATATCCATAAAACACAGATTTCACTAACAATGCCTCTAATCTAAATCTACTTTTGTCAAGCAGACACACAAATGGTGAATAATGTAGAAGCTACGAATAAAAGTGATAAAACCATTTAATAAAGCTAAATGTAAATGAAACTGAATAACCAGAGAAAAAACACAGCCAGAATTATTGGTAAGCAGCAATGGGTGACACGTAGGTTTATGGTTATATAGTCCTGTGGTTAACCAGTATGTGGTTAATGAATAGTCTTCTGTCAAAAAGAAGCTAAGTATCTTCCTGCTTTTGCCAACTTGTGTCACAACCTTATACAGGCTCTGAGATCTAGTCTGTTCTGTAGAAAATCTTGACAGTAACTTCACCTCCCTTTTCTTCTTTGCTCTGGTCTTGTAGACTGGTAATGTGGCCACATTTCACTACATTTCACTATTGTTATAAATTTTTTTCTGCATTTCTTTTCTATCTGGAAAACCCACAAGACCCTTCTAAAGAAATAAATTGACTACATATGCTAGCAGAACAGCATCAGCATTACCTAATGCATCAGCACTTGTCAAAAAAAACAACAAACGGGAAGCAAGATGCAGGTTAGTAAAGAGAATAAAGTACATTTTCAAAGTCTCTTTCAGTCTTAGTGATCTAGGTGTTGTATATAATGATACGGGGAAACTATTTTTGGAAAGAAGGAAGATCTACAGATGGCTCTCTGATATTTGTTAAGTCTAACGCTATGGGTGATAAAGTTTTTTGGAAGGAAGTTTATTGAACTTCATTACTGATGCCTCATAGAAAGATCTGTTGTGCTGGCGGAGAAAGAGCAACAAAGCTGTAAAGCTTTATCATGTAATTTGGTATTTAAAGAATGTCAAGAACACAGCCACTCTTGGTCTGGGTAGATGTAGGACCCAAGAGTTGAGGGCCAAAAGCCCCGAGACAGGGATCTGAAATGACTTTTGCTTCTGTTGTAATTCTTTCGGTCTCAGGGACTGCTTTCTAGCGAGGATGTGGAGGTGGGAAGACACTGGCCTGGGATTTGCGAGGCTTGTGTTTCGGCTTCTGTTTTGTCAGGGCTGTGATTCAGGATTATAGTTGGATTTAGTTGCAGCAGCCAAAGTGGTTAGCATCGCTGGCCACAGGCTTCCTGTGAGATTGTGGCCAAGACACTTTATCTCCCCACAGTTCCTCATCTGTAGAGTGGGGAGAATACCTCCCTAATTCACAGGGATGTGATGAGGACAGTTTCCAGTAACAGCTATGTGTGTGTGCGCTCGCCGTGATGTTGATGCAAACCATTAGCACCAAAGTAGGAACTGCATTAAGAGAAGTATTGAATTGCAAGTGAATGTGCATAGGGAGGGGGGGAATATTGCTGCTAGAGGCAGGCATTTATATTTACATTTATATTTAAATTTATATTTATTTCTATAGATAAACGAAGCAAACAATAAAAATGGGAAGTCTTAGAAGGGAAGAAACTCAGCACTCAGGAGGGCTGGAGCCAAGCGGTAAAATGAAGCAGGCAGATCTGTATGGGAAAGCTCGCACAGCATGTGCCCAAAGGAGGAGAATCTCAATTTTCTTACAACAGTTCCTGGTTATCTAACTTGGGGTGATGTCCCTTGATGTCTCTTACTGATAACGAAGATTCCTGTCAGTATCTGAGTCCTCCGTGATGCTGAGATAACTGTGCTAAACCTGCTGACAGGCAATCTTTTTATTGTTGTCCAGGCCAAAGCCATAATGAATGCATATATGAGGTCTTATCAAAGATTCAGAATGTTACTTTTGTTATTTAAAAAATGCCTGAAGTAAATGCTGGCATTGGCCAAAAGAAAATCCAGGGGTAGCAGGATCTGAAGGCATTGCGGTCACAAGGAGATACGAAACCCTCCCCAGCAGCCATCAAAACGAGTACTTTTCCCAACTTAGAGCCGTGGCATGCACATAACAATTTTGAAAAGGCCTTCACAGTTTTCTTATTGAATAATAGAGAAACTAAGCATATTGCTCTGCTATGTCTTCATAAAATGTTTTAATTCTCTGTGGACAAGCTGTAGGCATTTTTTTATTTTTTCCATTCCCTTGTTTCTTGGCATTGCGGTAGCAGATTATTTTTAAAGGGTTCTTGTTCGCAATATGGAATTGATCTAATGCTAGCTTCAACCACAAAGCGTGGGATTTTACAATCTGCCTCGGGGATCTGAGCACCCAGTTCTCTTTAATTTTAACAAGCGCTGTTGATCAGATTCCCGTGGCAGTTTTGGAAGAGTCAGGCACAATTTCTAAGCCTCTCTGAACTAACACCCTTTAGAAAGTACAGATAACGTACCAGCAGTCATCTAGATCAGATAAACTTTAACTGTTAGGGATAACCTCCTTTTTTTACAAACAAAGTGTAGATCATTTAAATATAAATTAATTTTTTTCCCGAAAGCTTTGAGCAGTTGCCACAGAGGGAATGCATCCAGCACCAGGCAGCTGTGAGGTTATACACCCTGCTTTCTGGGCACATATCTATCTATCTTCAGATACGGACAGCTCAAGTGTTTTAGTGCCATTTGGTGTGTTCGAGTGCTATTTGAAATGAGGAGTACACCTTTTCTCAACACATATGCTCAGTAACATTTTTTTCCTGTTGCAGGGAAAAGCTTCACACTGACTATCACGGTCTTCACAAATCCGCCACAAGTAGCCACATACCACAGAGCCATCAAGATAACGGTGGACGGACCTCGCGAACCCAGAAGTAAGTGAGCTAACGACAGCATTTGCAGAAGGCCAAGTTGACGGTTTAGCATAGGGGTTCATCACCAGCCTCATGAAACGCAGCAATATCCCATGCGCGTGGAGCAGTGGGTATGTTTTAAGCCAAGGCTGTCCTACAAACGGTTTTAATTATGCCTTCCCGAAGCCTTATTTTTCACGGGTGTCCAGCTGATCTAGAATTGACTTGCCTTGCATTTCTACAGTATCTACCCAGGGATGACTTGGATCATACCCAAAAGCTGACAGAAGGGATGCTGGTAAAAGGTGGGCAGCGTATACCTTAAGCATCACTTCTTGCTAGTCATGCCTTTCAGATGTCAAGAGGATTTTAAAGCATAGGAAACCAATATGTCATTGATCTAACTTTTCAAGCTCAGCCACCCTGCAAAAATAAATAAATGCCTGAGAGAGGACACCTGGTTGCTGCCTTGTGGAGTTCACTGTACCTCATGCTGTCGTATAGCTTAGGAGCACCCATTTTCACAGACAGCCAATCTTTCCTCTTTTTTTTCCTTTCTTTTTTTTAAGAACTAAGTACAAGGAGGAGATGAATGGTTTGATATCTCCAGGGGAATACCCGCAACTTTCACACAGGCGGTTGTTTTGTTCGGGTGGCGAGGGCAGTGAAGTGAGGGTGGAGCAGATCTGCAGGTATAGATGCTTCTGCAACACATGCGCTGCCTGTTACCAGAGGCAATCGTTAACCTCAGTCACTAGCCCGAATGGGGCATTTTCATATTTTTATCGAAATGCCCTGATGTAAATTGAGGTCTGTGGTTAGTTTCTTGCACTCCTCCCGCACGCTTGGCAGAATTTCTGGCTGTTGCTTAAGTGGAATTGTCCCGGGAGAAGAGAGCAGCAGGATTCAAACACCCACTAGAGAATGAGACTCGCAGCTCAGGATTGCTTAACTGAGGAGGGGAGAAAAGAAAGGTTTGAAACTTCAACTGAAATAGCTTAGAAAACTCATGCCTTGCCTGTGCGTTTTCTTCTCGAGCCTTCATTTGTCCAAGTTGCATCATGATGCTGCATGCATTTAGTGGAAAAATCTGACCTGTATTTTTTGGATTTGAGGCTAGACTTTAAAACAAATACTGCTGTCAGGGTAAGGCTTCTTATTTAGGTTGTTTGGTGGTTTTTTTGTAAATTGTGGTTGAACTGTCCCTGAAAAATATCCTTGGTGAACCAGGCAGCTGTGCACATAAAAAAGATATTTGTATATGCAAGTTCCAGATTTGCATATGCAATTACCTGGGCATGTTCATAGTTTGCAGACAACAAATAAGCTTTAGTTTTTTCAATATGAGTCTGCTAGAACGGTAAGAAACAAAATCATCCTGCAGGCGTACCTACTGTTTTAAATCAATTCTTCGGTTGGTATAATAGTTAATATTTAATAAGATTCTACATTTTAAAAAGGAAGTAGAGATATAATACATACTGAAGCAACATACGTATCTTCCTGACTCAAATGTATGTAAAAGCTTCCTTGTAAACAATTTCACTTTGTCATAGGCAAATCAGCTGCATAGTGGAGGAGGCTTTATGCGTGTCAGGAGAGGAGGTCAGTCTCCCCCCTCAGTAGGAACGCACAGCTCCTTTTATCGCTAAGTCATTCGTGGTGCAGCGGAGAAGGGATTATGCTCCTTTCATTTGTAAGTGGGCTGCAAAGTCCTTTGGTTTGACTTCTCACGAAGGGTTTCTGAACCGCAGTGGCTGTTGCGATCAGTCTGGTATCTCCTCTCCTCTTTATATGTTTGACTGAGATATGGATTGACCTGAAGAGATACACCACGGGCTGTGAAGGAAAAAAGAAGTGGTACCCAGTGCATTCTCCATTCTGAGACAGTTCTGGTGGGTTTGGGCTATACGTTTATTTTTCTATACTGTCGCTCAGTGGGTGTACCCTGTTTTGCATTGATTCAATTAGATCAGTTACATGTGTAGGCTGTACAAAAATAGATTGCAGGGCTGCTACCTGCACAAACTCACATGCAAGATTTGCGGTTAGACATATCAAAACATGCATGCTGTGTACTGAAGGGATTTAAAATTAGATAGGCCTTCTTGTATTGAGACTAGAATCAAAATTAAAACTGCTAGATTAGAATGTTTCTAGTTTCAGTAATTGATATTTGGGAACATTCATGCTTACAGATCCATGACTCACTTGCTCGCTTGAGCTAAAGGAATTACAGAAATACGAATTTTGTATTTTCTAAGATGTCCCAATTCAAAAGAAATCCATGGAAGACAGTAATGGGAACAAAATTAGACGCTGCTGTCTTACAGAGATCTAGAAAAAACATTCTGAAGTCCAAAACTAACTCCAGCAACAGTTTTTGATTAATTTACTTTATGTTTATAACGGTTCTCAGACAATCTGAATTCTAGTGAGTGCCTGCATTCTCTGTGAAAAATGCTGGAAGGTAAGGGGCCATTTCTGAGGATGGAGGCCATCTGAGACAAAAGTCAGAACTTCACACCAGGATGATTTTTAGTGAACTTTACAGGACATAGAAATACTTTTTTTTAAAAAACCTTTAAGATGGATTAACTTAAGAAATAACAGAAACATTTTCTTTCATCTTCAGAGAATGTGAATCAAGAGCAGTTTCTGAGCCAGAATTAGATGCGTTCTCAAACTGTTTTTTTTTAATGCAAAAGGACAGCCTCTTCAACTAGACATGCTTGGGGAAAAAACTTCAAAAAGTAATACAAAACAGGATTTGAAGCCATTTTTGGAAAACAGAAAAATACTCAAACCAAAGGCTCCAAAAGCAAATATGCAAAGCACAGACTTTTTGGTTCACTGGGATGTGTGGAGATGCCACGATAGGTGACGATAACAGGCACAAAGGCCTGCAGACTTTGGGTTCTTGCACGTTACATTGTACATTTGGTCACGATTATTGTGATGGCCAGGTCTTTGCCTAGCAGTATATTTGCCTATGTAACTACCAGATTTGCATTTACAACTACGATAATTACTCCTGCACGGGACTTACACCACTGACCTTTTTTTTGCCGTTGAATTTCTGGCTGTGCCTATCCAGATGATACTTCTCATCACATTGTCATGGCTTGTAGAGAGTGCCAAGGTACTTAAGAATCTGGCTCTTCCTCCACTGCTATCATTATGTATTTTTAAAATCTCTTTGTACTTAGCATTTTCATTCTCCAGCTTTAAATAAATGCTTATTTTCAAAATTTTTTATAAAAAGAAATAATACTGCACTGTCAGGGAGAAGGGCAAGATGACCTAACCCATCATTGTCTTCTCCAACTTCTATGATTCTATGATTCATAAAGCAATTTATGTTTTTATGAGCTAAGTCCATGGGGAAAATCATTAGCAGTAACCAGATCAAGAGTAGTGCTCCTGATGAAAATACTTTTGGTTAGAAAACTTGGTAGAAATAGTATGACAAAGGATGAGGAAAAGGCTGAGGTACTTAATGCCTTCTTTGCCTCAGTCTTTAATAGTAAAACCAGTTGTTCTCTGGGTACCCAGCCCCCTGAGCTGGAAGACAGGGACGGTGAGCAGAATGAAGCCCCCATAATCCAAGGGGAAATGGTTAGCGACCTGCTCCACCACTTAGACATGTACAGGTCTACGGGGCCGGATGGCATCCACCCAATACTGAGGGAGGAGCTGGCGGAAGTGCTCACCAAGCCACTCTCCATCATTTATCAGCAGTCCTGGTTAACGGGGGAGGTCCCGGATGACTGGAGGCTTGCCAATGTGACGCCCATCTACAAGAAGGGACGGAAGGAGGATCCAGGGAACTACTGGCCTGTCAGCCTGACCTCAGTGCCAGGGAAGGTTATGGAGCAGATCACCCTGAGTGCCATCACGCAGCACGTACAGGACAACCAGGTGATCAGGCCCAGTCACCATGGGTTGATGAAAGGTAGGTCCTGCTTGACTAACTCGATCTTTTTCTATGATAAGGTGATCCACTTAGTGGATGAGGGAAAGGCTGG